TTGCCCAGAAGCAGACACTCATCTATCTTGGTGATATTACTGATAAAAGCTTGGATGCCTACAGGATTAGGTAGCAGCTGAGTGGGGGTTTAAGGATCTAAATTATGGGGTTAGATACTAAAATATCTTAAGTGTTTAAAATCTTTTGTGGATTTGGTCCACATCTCTAGGAAATAAATCCTACAACAGGCCCACACAAATAAATCCTACAACAGGCCAAATCTGGCAGTCCCTAATCATGTAAAGTCACATGAAATATCTTCCAGATATTATTGCAATTGCAAACTATGAGATACATAGGCCAGTGTAGACAATGTGTCACTCTGCCATACTAAGGATAGTGTTGAGAAGAACTTTTACGTTGGAATGAAACCAGCTATCAGAGGGGACAAAATCTGATCTGGCACCTCAGGCAAAGAAGTAATAAATACTAATATCAATTAACTTCAATAAGAGTTTTGCTGAGTATGGAATACAGGGTAAGATGTTATATTTTCCACACCAAAGAAGTTAATGTGAACTTAATGACATGTAGCTCCTATAATCATTTTTTTTCTCCTAATGAAACATTTTCACCCCAATTCAGACAAGGGGAGACTGGGCATATCTATATGTGCATGTAATGTGAAGCAATAAACTGTGGCATTTATCGCACTGGAGTTTATTGCTCCCAGGTGTGCTGTTTGAATGTGCACCCAGAACTGCAGCATGTTGAGTCAGGCCAGAGCAGCCCCAGCTGGCAGAGGGCCCCAGAGATCACCCTGCCAGCCCGGGGCTGCTCTTAGCTGGCTCAACATGCTTCAGAGGAGCTGGCTGGAGCATAAGGGTGCTTCAGTGTGGGACTAGCTGGCAGACAGCCACAACACTGAAGCACCTTTGCACCCAAGAAAGCCACGTCAGCATCTATATGTGTGGTGCTGCAAAGTAAAAAATTTCATAGCAGGATGGTACTTGTAAAGGATACATGTACTATCCTGCTGTGGAGTTAGTTTACTCCTGCCTAAGAGCACTGCACATGTAGGTGCAAGATGTTTACTGTGGAGCTAATTAATTTACTCCTCAGTAAATGTCTCTTGTAGATGCACCCTCTTGCTGAAACTTGCTGAAGGGTACCTTGCATGCAAAGGGAAGTATCAGAAAAAAACTCAGACTCCTGAGTTGCAGCCCTGTGTTCCACTCACTGCACAAAGACAACACTCTGATCACTTTCACTGGGAAGAGGTATTTGAAAACAATACAATTAAGAAAAAGAAATCAAACAAAGTATGATCATAGGAGGTAGAAAGAAGGAAAAGCTTTCCCCAATGCTTGCTATACTACACAAAAAAGAAAAGAACTCATTACTTCTGCTACCTGATTATGCTTATCAACCTTTTCTCCTGAGTTCAGACATCAGTCTCATTTTACACATTTGTCTTTTGTATGTAGCTATAATTTCCATGGTACTTGGCTATTTTTTTACATAGATTTCTGTATGTAAGCTTGGGATAATTTGTGTAGGCCAAACTCTACTGAGAGAGAATCACAGCTGAGTAGAGGTATATATGCATGCTCCCACTGGAATCAAGCAAATTGCTAGCATAAACTATTACAAGAAAACAGCAAATCTAACAAATACTGTGTTGTATATACTGTGCTGTTTGGAAAGGGAAAAAGTAGTGTTTCCTGTGAGTCTTATTCTGTTAATGAGCTGCATTTTCATGAATCACTTTGAGTAAACCTATGGCTCCATCACCCAGCATAATAATAACTTGGAATAGACTGAAAAGCTCAAATCTTATTAGAACAAGTACTGTAAATTGGTATGGATGCTCAGAGCTCTTGTTGTAGGGCTTTTTGCCTTTACTGTTACAGCTAAAAAGCATCTTTTTGTAGTTTCTTAAGTTTTATTTAAGATGCCATAAAAGAAGAGGCTACTTACAATAATATGTGAGTTTATGACAAGTTGTATAATTTAATGATCACCACTTTTGTCTCTCATTTTTCTGTTTTAGATTCTAGCCCAGTCTAATAATGAATATCATAATTTGTGGTCCTACCCCAGATAAAATGCACAGAGTTCAATGAACTGAAGTAATTTCTGCAGTAGTTGCCTTTTTTATTCTCTTCATAAAACTCCTGCTTTAATTCTGGCAATTCTTATCACAACTGTTCAAGATGTACTGTTCTAAAACATCCCTGCAACAAGCACATACTTAGCTATGCATGCATAATAAACTGTCTTTCCTATTGAATGCCCTGCTTTTCTGTATTTCTTCTCTTGCAAAGGTATCACATTCTTGCAAGCAGGGTAGAATAATGGCATTGATTTTATGCTTATATTTTCTATAAACAAAGAAAGGATGCACAAAACAATTAAATAATGGAAAACTAGTATGACAAAGCAAATGCACAGACAACAGACACAAAAGCAATATATCTTGGGCACACCCAGGCACATCCAGGTGAGCCTGCATGTGCCTGTTGCGGTGTCTCAAAGCAGTTTGAGATGATGCAAGAGGCACGCTGGGAACTAAAAAATGTTCCCTGCACCTGCATATTTGCAGAGCAGACTCTACATTTGATACCTGGCAATCCAGGTATCAAAAAAAAAAAAAATGCTGAAAAAAACCAGTGCAGGGGAGCTTGGAGAGCATGCTCTGAATCAACCGGAAGCTGGGGCCTCCAGAAAGATGCTCTGGCACCTGGTCAGGGAATCTCTATGGTTGCCCAGTGCCCTACTGCCCCAGCACACTGCCTCAGCATGCTGGGGCAAATAGGAGTAGGGCAAGGCTGCAGCAGTGGCCCAGACCCAGGTGCTGTCCCAGGTAAGTAGGGACATGAGGGTGGGGGAGACTGTGGGCTTCCTGTGGGACTGTGGGGGGGACTGTGGGGGAGGGATTGTGTGTGTGTGTGTGTGTGTGTGTGTATGTGTGTGGGGATAGTGGAGGGAAGACAACTTGGGAGGGGTGGGTCCTCTGCCCCCCCCACAGCTTGGTGCACAGCCCCCCGCTAGACCCACAGCACCCCACCCAACCCCACCACAGCCTCAGGTACCATTACAGACTGACAGAGCCCCCTGACTATGAGGCTGTGGGGGGGACTGTGGTGGTGGGAGGACTGCTCAGGAGGGATGGGTCCCTTCCCCCCACACATAGTGCACAGAACCCCACACAACCCACAGCCCCACTACAGGACCAGCAGCAGTGGCCATTGGCATGCTTAGGGCCTGCTACTGACTGGCAGAGTCCCCAGCAGCACAGCATGGCCCCGGCCACCTGGTGCTAGATTGGCACCACATGTAGGGGCTGCATACTCTCAGGCCTAGCTGGGTCCTGCCTGCATGGAGGTGGCCTGGCTCGATGGCACACGGGGCACATGAGGACAGGACCCAGCTGGGACTGAGGGTGTGTGGCCCCCATGCGAGGTGCCCATCCAGCACCAGGTGGCTGGGGCCATGTTGTGCTGCTGGGGGCTGTGCCAGTCAGCAGCAGGCCCTGAGCACCTCAATGGCCACTGCTGCTGCTCTTGCAGGTGGGGCTATGGGCCCGGTGGGACTGTGTGCTGTGTGTGTGTGGGGGGGTGAGCAGGGCACCTACCCCTCCTGAGCATCCCCTCCACCACAGTCCCTCCCACTTCCACTCCCACCACAATCCACCCACAAACCCCACATGACTCCTGCAAACCCAGCCACAAACCTCACACTCACAAACCCTACATACCTCAAATACCTGCACAAGCCCCATACCCCCCATAAACCTCACCTCCACAAACCCTACACTCACCCACAAACCCCCCACAAACCCTACACCAACTCTCCCACACCCCTTCCCCTGAAAACCCCACATCCCCCTCACAAATCACACACCAAATTGTGTACCCAGTTACCAAATGGGATGGGACCTGCTAGCAGGAGCCATGGCTGCAGGGAAAACTGCATCTGTGGATCCCTTCGCTGGTGCTGGGACATGGAGCCCTAGCTTGGGGGTGTTCCTGGTCCCAGAAATGACTTGGGTATGTGATGGGCTGGAGTAAGGGTGGAGGTGGCAGCAAGGGAGTGTGTGTGTGAGAGAGAGAGATGGGGGCCGGGGTTGGGGGAGCACTTCAGGTAGGAGAGGACCCCAAAGCTGGGCTTAGAGCCCCTTTGTCCCCCTAAAGCAGCCTGTGCAGGGGGAGACCAGGCTGGGAGGGAAGGGCCTTGCCCAGCACAGTCCCTAAGCCCCAGTCAAGAAACAGCATGGGCATCGCTGGGGCCTGGGCACAGGTGCAGGGAGCAGAACAGTAAGGGCTGGCACCACTCAGAGCCACAAAATAGCAAGTGGAACAGCTGCAGCTGGACTCATGTCTTGGTGCTGGGATGGAGCTGTGGTTGAGAGGGAGCTAGTAGGGGCAAGCAGGACCTGCAAGCAAGGAGTGAGGGGGTCTGGGGGCAAGGGGCTGTCAGTTAAGAATAATGGGCAAGGGCAGGGCAGGGCACTGGCATATCAGTGCTGCTCAGTGCCCCACATCCTGGTGAGTGAAGGGGGTGTCGGGGTAAAACTTTTCACTGTATGCTGACAACACAGAAGGGCTGGAACTGACATGTGTTCTTTGAGTGGAAAATTCCAGGGCTCACCCAGCATGTGCCCCCTGGGTGACCTCGGGACCTGTCAATCATGCGTGACCTACTTTTCCCTCAGGTGCATGCTCAGTCTCTCACAGAATCTGATACACACATGCTCAGTCACAACCAGAGCATGATGTAATTGGTCCAGAAATTTCCATCAGAATAGCGGCCTGATTGGCTACAAGGCTGCTATAAAAGATTTGTAAACCCCTTCCTGGGGGGGAGACCCACTTGACTGAGAACAGAGGCTGTTCAGCAGGGACTGTTCCTCAGTAAGGCTCCTCGGCCTATCAGTCTCCTCCCGCTTGGATTTTCGCTTCGTCTTCGACCTCGTCTCGTTCCTAGCACTGATCTCCTGGCTCTCGACTAACATTGGCACCGATTGCTGACCACGACGCGGATCATCCCTACTTACCTCGATTGCATCTCCACTTCTCCACATCTCGGCTCCCGACCTCGGCTTTGTCTTTTGATCATCCGTTGTCCATCACTGGACTGGCGTCATGACATCGTTCATCGTTCTACGAGTTACAGTTTTGTTTGTTTGTATTCCAACTATAAGCTGTTGACCAGCCCTGGGACTAGCTAGTGGGCAGCCGCACCTATCCCTTTGGGGGTAGAACGCAAGGGCTTGCTAGTGAACCCCGTAGGCCAACAGACCCTTTTGTTTTTTATCGTTTAACTGTAACTGAAGAAAGCATCAGCACCTATGCCTCACAAGCGTAAGTCAATAAATCCATCTTTGTTTGAAACCATACTTATCTCGTGCCTCAGAACTCCTCGCCAATAATCCTGCCTGTCTCGTATCCGAGCCACTGCCCGGCCTACCGTGACCTTGGGGCCTTCATTTGGTTCCAACAGGGGGCAGGGGCAGCTCTGATTTTTCCATGATAAACTAAAAGCAAATGCCAAAGTGTACAGATATTTAGAATTCATTTTAGTATGATAATAGCGTCACTGGTAGGCTTCCAAATTGTTTTAAATTTGTAAGTATATCAATAAAATATCGCCCAACTGATCTCTCTCTATATAGTGGTGTTTTATTTTAATAGCAGAAGAACACAGATTTGGGTTCTGTGTTCCTCTGGGTTCCCCAGAGATTTGGATGCCCCCACCCCATGGCCCACAGCCCTTGGTGCTGGCAGTAGCAGCCAGTCAGGCCACTGGGGCCATGGCTTACTGCAGGCACAGCCCCATGGCCATGCAGCACTGTCTGACCCAGGTTCTGCACATGGCGAATGGACTTGGCCTGGCCCGGCCCGGTCCAGCCCAGCCTGCCCTGCTAGTGCACGACTTTGAACAGGACCAGGACAGCTCCTGCCATCACCGGCAGCTCCTGTCCACGCATCGGGCTGGGCTGGGTCCTGCTTCTAAGTGTCCCATGTGCTTTCATACTGGGTTGGCTTCATGGAGGCAGGACCTGACCCAGCCCAATGTGTGGCCCCTGCATGTGGTGCCAGGACCCTGGGTGACGCAAAAGTGGCCTGGTCCTGCCCGAAGGCACAGGTAGCGCTGGGTCTCAGGTGGCTGGAGCCATACTGCACTGTGTGGGGACTCTACCAGCAGTGGGCCCTGAGCACCCGATGGCCACTGCTGCTGCTGCCGTGGAGCGGGGGGACTGTGCACTGTGTGTGGGGTGGACGGGGGACCCATGCCCCCACGCAGTTCCTCCACCCCCACCCCCATGTCCCTACTTACCTGGGATGATGCCTGGGTCTGGGTCACTGCTGCAGCCTTGCCTTGTTTCCCTAAGCAGGGGAAGGGGAAAGCCATAGAGATGCTCCAGCCTGGACTCAGCCTCCAGTTGTTTCAGGGTAGGCTCCAGGAGTGTGCCCTGCACCACTTTTTTTCAGCGGGCTTTTTTTTTTTGATACTGGGACTTCCCGGCATCAAATTTAGAGTCTGCACAGCAAATATGCAGTTTTAAGATGCTGCAACAGCCATGCACACACTCATCTGGATGTATCCCTTATGTTTTACTTTGCAACTGGCATACTCAGGAATTGTGCTTCTCCCACAAGTGAGACAAGTATTAAAGACCGAGGTCTCTTTTATGTAGGTTCTCATGAACATGTATTCTGAAGCATCCTCAGTCAAAGTGACGGTGGGTAACATTCCCCGTTAACAGGATACAGTGACAGTAAGCAGCTATGGAGAATGAAAATTAGCCCTGTGCAGCTAATCAACAGAAGGCCCTGCACCCCCATTGAAGACATATATTAACAGCTTGAGTATGGCTCTGCACTGGCTTGAGTTTCCTTCAGTATTAGTGTCAGTATTCTGATTGCAGGGTAAGTTTTCAAAGTTACTGTAGGAAATAAAAACATTGTATCTTGTCTAGCTGTGCCACAGTCTGAAGGGTATCATTATGTTTATTTTCTCTTTATTTGTAAGCTATTACAAAATACCCAGACTGGAATGCCAGCCTAGCATTATAGAATGTAGCAATGTATCCAACTGTTCGCTTTTATTTTGAACTGGCTCTTATACATTCCACTGGGGCAAGTTACATTTTGCTGTTGCAAGCTGTTGGATGCTAAGACCCTGCAGGGCTTCTGAATTGAGACTTTCTCTTACCAGGTTTTTGAACCCTGCATGCAAGTTCGGTTTAGATACTGCTGAGTTCTATCTGCTATACCCTATTAGTTTTAACCAGCATAGAGGATAGGAGAAGCTGGATACTACTAAGGCTATAGAAAAGGAGGTTCTGGTGTAGAGAGGATTTTCAGAGAGTATCCAAAAACTGTGGAGATAACATAGGCTGATGCTTATGTGTGGCTGTATTTAAGAATTAAGCAAAGCCTCAAGAAGGTTTGCCCTTTACCTGGAGCATGTATGTTCTGATCAGAGTAGGGGAGATACTGCACTTGTTTCTAACCATTTCTGTAAGATATTATGTCAGATGTTATGTTATGCAGTGCTAGGGTTTTTGGACAACATCAAAATGCAACTCAGTGGGTGCATCTACACGTGCCCCTGACTGCGCAGTTGTTAGTGCGCGGTCATTTACTACTTGCTCTAGTCATTTAGTACTGTGCAGTTCTGGCAGCGCACAGGTTGTTTCTGACCCTACTGAGCAGTAGCAACAACATAGCTCATTGCTACTGTGCAGTAGAATTGGCATCATGGTTTGTGCCTGCTGACGCTATGTTGCCATAGTGACAAGCTACGCCACCATAGCTTGTCACTACGGTGATGTAGTATCTCGTGTAGATGTGCCTAGTCTGTCTCATACCATTTCCTCAGAAAAAATCTAGGTTGTTAGGTTTCCCTTCCTTCCTTCCTTTCTTCTACTTTGGACACTTCAGACAAGGCTTGCTTGGAGCTGCGTTGGGTGATCCTGAGCGTAAGACTCCCTGGATTCCTATCTCTTTTCTTTTCTGACTCCCACCTGTCTAAAGGTCTCTTGCTCCTGTTTATTTCCCTTTTTGATTGTTTTCTTGTATTTTCGCAGTGTTGTTTATTCTTTTTCTCTGCTCTCTATCCCCTCCCCCTTTACTTCTGGTTTGTCTGCAAGCTGCTACTTTCCAGCTTTTTTCTTACTGTTTCTTTTTCTTTCTTTCTTTATCTTCTGCTTGTTTGTTGAAGGGAGTTATCTTTTTCTATATCTTGCCTTTTGAGGGGTACTCTCAATCCCCGCCTTTTTTCTGTTTCCGCTTTATTCCTAACTGCCATAAGCCTCCTGACTCTTTCATTTCCCCCCTTTCCCCACCTCCCCTCTGGACACTTAACTTTTAATTTTCATCTTTTTTGGCCGTATTCCCAGACACTTATCTTTGTAGTTAATATACACAACTTTTTCTTTATTCCCTAGCTTTGGCTTTTGAAATTAGCTCTGTCCTAGCAGAAATGGCTGCTCCTACACCCAGCACCTGGCATGGGGATGCTTCTCAAGACCTCCCTCTTACCCATGGCTTGAGGGTTCACACCCTTCCCTATGTTAGGGTCGAGGTCTTCATAGGTGCCCTACCTGGTCTCCCGGGACAGTGTAACATATGTTATGCAAGTCTGTTAACATGGTCCCAGTGATTTACCTGAGTGCTTCCACCCTTGTCAACAGGGTGTGCACAGAGGGCCTGAACATCACCGGCATACACTATCTTGTCATGCCTCTAGACACCCAGGCAGTGAGGGTGGTGATTTCCAGTGTGCCCCCACACGTGACTGACAGGGAGCTGGTCAAGCAACTAGAGCCCTATGGGGTTCCTATGAGTCCCTTTCACCGACTGACGATTGGAAGCAAGGACCGGAAGCTGAAGCATGTCCTGTCTTTTTGAAGTCAGGTTTTCATGCTCCTCAGGGAAGGCCCGCAGTCTCTGCCTTACTCCTTGATCCTCATGTTCAACAGGTGGAGGTTTGTGCTTTATTTTCCCTTGGACCACGTGTTTCCAGTGTGGTAGCTCTTCCTGACTGGCAGCCCAGTGCCTGCGGGGGAAAGTGGCCAGAACATTGGTGACTGCAGTGGTGCCAATGGATGGCGCATCCACTTCTGGGACACAGGCCCCACCCAGTGAGGCTGGGAGCTGTTCCCGAACTTCTTTCACTCCGTTCCATCTGGGAGGGCTGTGGTCTCTGGTGTGAAAGCACCATTCAGCGGAGGGGCTGGGACTACTCCCCAGCCCTCTCCCCTACCCATTCCACCTATGGTGCCCATCTCCCCAGGGCAGAGGCCCCACCAAGTGGAGGGGCTGATGCCTCCTGCCTGCCCTGACCTCTCCAGCCTGCCCTGGCCATTCCCTGGCCACTTGCCCCTGCCTGCCCTGACTTCCCCGGCTGAGGCAGCTGGGGTGGCCAGTGACTGTGGTGCCAAGGCCCTATTGAATGATGGGGCTCGGGCCTCCTCCTGGTCGCCCTCCACCACGTCCTTGTCTGAGGTGGGCTGGCCCTAGGGAGGTGGGCCAGGAACAGTCCGGCCCATCCCCTATGAAGGGTGGGCCACCTGCCACTAGGAAGAAGAAGAACAAAAAGAGGAAGGTGAAGGGGACCTCTCAGGACACCCCACCCCTGCTGGGACCCTCCTTGGCTGGTGCCAGGGGGGCCCCTGCTGGAGAGCCTGACCCTGCTCTGACTGTCACGGATGGGGATGGCTTGGAGGTGGGGGAAGTGAAGGGGGCAGTCACCAACCCCTTGCCTGTCTCCCAGCTTCTGGAGTTGGGTAGCAGTAAATGTGATTCAGAATGCCTCTCTTCTCAAGGCCTGACCCAGGGGGTGGCAGAGGAGTCTGTTGACCTCTTGGTCACATCCCAGCTGACCAAATTGAATGAGGAAGCTAGTGAGATGGAAATCGAGCTTTCTGACTTTCACAAGCAACCTCAAGAGCAGGATGACCTCTCTTCCCCCAAGAAGGTGGGGATCACTCTCCCAGAGCCTTGACTTGGACAATGAGAGGAGGCTGATGTGTCTAGACATTAAGGGTGTAGACACTGCATTTGTGAGTGAACT